CAACATTGTATCTTTGGACAGGTAGGATGGTTCAGCAGGCAAAGAGCTTGCCATGCAGACCTGCTAACCTGAGTAGGATCCCAGGAACCCTGGGTAGGAGAGCTCTGACTGCCACGTAAGCACCCTGGTATAATTTTTGTTTTTGTTTTTGTTTTTGTTTTTCGAGACAGGGTTTCTCTGTGTAGTTTTGGTGCCTGTCCTGGATCTCGCTCTGTAGCCCAGGCTGGCCTCGAACTCACAGAGATCCGCCTGGCTCTGCCTCCCGAGTGCTGGGATTAAAGGCGCCCAGCGCACCCTGGTATAATTGCACCAGGACACACACCCACAGCACTAATAACAAATATGATTACGTTTAAAATATTTGTATGGGCTGGTAGAGTATTTATCAGTGATAGATTACTTTCCTTGGATGTGCAAGCCTTGGGTTCAAACCCCAGTGCCAACATACACACACTGGATCTTTTGAAAATATGTGGTCTAGTTCTCTGTATAATACACCAAAACCCAGAGGAAAATCAATTTTAAAAATTAAGTTTTAATTAGAGTATGTGTTTATTGTGTGTACACATTCATGTGTGGGGGCTTATACTGACTCACGTATGTCTGCACATTTGGAGGCCAGAAGCCAGAGCTGAGTGTCTTCCTCTACTGTTCTCCATCTTGATTTTGAGACAGGGTCTCTCACTGAAACTGGAGCTCACCAATGTGACTAGACTGGCCAGTCCACAAGTCAAGGGAATCCTCAGCGCTGGGGTTATAGGTATTCTCCACACCCAGCTTTTAGTGGGTGTCAGAGAGCTGAATTGAAGTCCTTTGTTTGCAGGGCAGGTCCTTTATGACTGACTGAGTAATCTCTCTAGCCCCTAAAGTGATCTGGAAACTGGGAGATAGAAATCGTATAGATTTATGACTAAAATGTGTTGTTTGGATATATCTATAGCTTCTGGGATGGTAAAATCAAGCAATTTTAGCATATGTAACACAAGCTTATCTTTTTTTTTTTTTTTTTTTTTTTTAAGACAAGGTTTCATATATCCCAGGCTGGCCTCTAACTTGATAGCAAGAAAAGATAGACGACCTTTAGCTTTTGATCTTCCTGGCTCCTCCTCTGAGTGCTGGGATTATAGGCATGAGCACCATGCCTAGTTTTAGGTGGTATTAGGGACTGAACCTATGTCTTTTTGTTTGCTAGGCAACCAATTGAGCTACATTTCCAGCCCACATGCTTATCCTGTGTGTGTGTATGTGTGTGGTAAGAACAGTTAAAATCTATTCTCAGCAATATATAATTATATATATTGTTATTAACTGTAATAATCATAAAGTATAAAAGTATTGATTTCGGGTTGGGGATTTAGCTCAGTGGTAGAGCACTTGCCTAGCAAGCACAAGGCCCTGGGTTTGATTCTCAGCTCAAAAAAAAAGTATTGATTTCTATACCCTCTTTGTGGACTGACTAATACATCCAGTGAGTTGTTTTGTTGCCAGTTTCTTTATCTGATTATTCCAAGTATTAAATGAGGTAAAGTATATGAATTATTTAGCAACCTAAGATATGTTAAATATTCAGCATAATTTAAAAATCTATTCTGTTTTTAGATTTATTTTTCTGTGTATGTGTGTTTTGCCTGCATGTATGCATGTGCACCACGTGTGTGCTTGGTACCCATGGAGGTCAGATGAGGGCATCAGATCTCCTGGAACTAGAGTTACAGACGGTTGTGACCCACTACTTGGGTACTGGACTGAATCCATGTCCTCTGCAAGAGCAGACAATTTTTTTGTTGTTGTTTTGTTTTTGTTTTTCGAGACAGGGTTTCTCTGTGTAGCTTTGGAGCCTGTCCCGGAACTCACTCTGTAGCCTAGGCTGGCCTCAAACTCAAAGAGATCCACCAGCCTCTGCCTCCCGAGTGCTGGGATTAAAGGCGTGCGCCACCACCGTCCGGTGACAATGCTCTTTTTAAAAAAAACTTTATTTTTTTATTTATTCTTTGTGTCTTTCACATCCTACCCATCTGCCCTCTGCTCCTGCGACCCCCCCCAACAAAATTTAAGATAAAAAAGGGGAAAAAAAAAGAGAAAAATCTCGTCATGGAAGCTGCAGTGTGACACAGTGAGTCACGCAGTAAACCCCTTTATCCATACATCTTTACATTCAGGCCTTCATCGCAAAGAGTTATTGGTTCGGTTCTAGGCGCCTGATCTCTGCTGCACTATGATACTGGGTCCTCACTGCGGCTCTCCCTGGACATCCTGTTTCTGCCCTGTGTCGTGGAGCTCCTGTAGCCCTGGGTCTGCAGGACCCCACTCCAGCAGATCACAGATGAGGTGGATGTTTTTTGGGTGGGCCAACACTTAACCCTGGTTCTGGGCCTGGGGAGTTGTACGGCTGGTCAGTCCTCCAGCTCTTCTCTGTCTCCATTACCAGGGTGAGTTTTCCGGCACTGCCCTGACTCCTTCACCCCTTGCAGCGATAAGCAAGGGGCGGGGCCAGTTCTCAGCTCTCAGGCTTTCAAGCCCTCGGGGTCGGTTCTGCCATACCTACACCTTCAGGGGCCGGCTCTGCTGTGCTGCCCAGGCTAGTGTAGGGGCCATCCCCCGCCCCCCCGAGTGCTGCAAGCTGACAGGAGCAGGAACAGCTCTCCTACTCTTATGACCTCAGAGCCAGGTCTCCCACCTGAGGGTGGATGATATCTCCCCCACTCCGCCCCCGCCCATGCCACCAAATAACCTATGAGTAATGGGGACAACTCTCCTATCTGCCTCAGGTGTTGATGGGGGGGGGCGCGGGGGCAGACAATATTCTTAACTGTTGAGCCTTTGCTCCAGCCCCAGTCAGCATACTTTTAAATAATCTTTAAAGAAATATACGAGGAAAGGCAAATTTAAAATAATACAAAAAGGTATACACGCGTATTTTGTCACTTTTTTGTTTTGCTTTGTTTTTGGACACAGACTGCCGGTGTAGCCCAGGTGGTCCTCAAACTCAAAGTCCCCCTGCTGTACCTCTCGAGTGTTGGATTTAAAGGTCCGAGCCACACCCAGCCAATGTTTCCTTCCGTTGCTACAGTTGTTACTTGGGATCTTCAAGCAAAAGTCAGGTTTTTAACATTGATGATGAAGTGAGGTCGACAGAGCAATGGATGGTAAAATTCTAGTCAGAACCAAGTGTAACATCACGAGTATTCTGGCTCCATTCCAGCGTGAGTGGTTCGCATTCTCCAACTTCAAAATAATTTTTTATTATTAGCCAACACTTGTCCATCCCAGCAACATACACAACACATAAAGTGTAGAGGCCTCCCTTGGCATGTTGGCAGGCTGTACATATTTTCCACTCAGGATTCCTTCCCTTTTCTGACGGCTGTGGCATAGTTTTTCACCCTCCGCTAATTCCAAGTCTAGGATGTTTGTAGATCTTGAGTGCCAAGCAGTTACTAAGAACAAAAGAGATTAAATATGAACACCTATAGAATTCTGGGGGAGCGGAGCAACTCACATTTTAAACATTTTTTAATAGCCGTGATGGTGTCCACGAAGAGACGGTTTATTCCTTTTTAAACTTTGTGACTGAGATTAAAACACACAGTTTCATTAGCGTCCACAAAGCCTGTTGATATACAGAAGGTGGCTTTTCCGCCCGTACAAATGGCACAGAAAATCACAGGAAGACCCAACAGACCTCAACCTCTGAGAACAGTCCCAAGTCTTTCAAGTATCCTTAGGCCCTCTCCCTATTTCGAATTTTTTCCCAACGGAAGAAAGAGGGAAGGGGGGGGGGAAGGAGCAGTATACAATTTAAAGCCTCTTCATAAGAGTGCGAGTGAATTCCAAGTATGCTGAACACCTCAGTCTCCCAACCTAATTAGAGCACGTAGAAAAGCGGCATTTGTGGGACACTTAAAACTTGCAGCATACTGGCTCATCAGGAGAGCGCCACTGTGTGTCCCTGCGTTGACTGCACGCAGCAGTCCCGGCTGCCCCCCTCCCCGGGGGGGGGGGGGTCCCAACCTCGCCAGAGTGCGCGGCCGCCAGCCCCGGGTGACCCAGCACCCTGAGCCATCCCCTGTCCCAGCGGGCGACTTAGTACCTTAGACTGCTAAGGACTAATATTTCTAATGACTTCCCAAACGGAGAGAAATTCACTCTCTCGTCACAACAGTAAGATTTTTGTTGCATTTACGAAAGCGCAAAGCCTGGGCGATATCGGTATTTCCAGGGGAGGAGTGGGGGGAGTGGTTCAGACTGTGAACGTCCAACTTCTGGTTTCAGAGTCCAGGTTTGCCATCGGAACGCCTACTGTGTACCAGGAGCTCGCACTGGGAGGAGCACCAGCTTTATCAAAGTCTCTGCTGTCTTGCTAGCTCGGCTGTGCAGGTCAAGTTCTGAGGCGCCCTGGCCTTAGAACCCTTACGGGAATCCAGATCGCGTACCAAGGTGTAAACGATGAGCAAACACGCGGTTGCTCGTGAAATACTGGCGCGTCTGTCGGATCAGAAGGGAGACAGGTGGCACGGCTGAAAGTGACCTCTCAGTTCCGCTTGTTTAAAAGCGCCGAACCTCGATAAGGGCGCTTAGCTGGAGAAGGGGGTGGCCCGGTGGAGGCCCGGGAAGCAGGCGTTCGGAAAACCAGAACCTTTCAGGAAAGTGAGTCCGATCCCGGCGGGCAGCCGCGGAGAACTCCAGAAGGACTTAGGACCACGTTTCCCGCCCGGCTTCCCCCAGGCGGCCTCATTAGCATTGACCACGCCCTCCCTCGTCGCTTCCCGGCTCACTATTGGTCGACGCTCTTCCGCGGCTCGCTCCGGGGCTGGGCCGCGGGGCGCTCGGGGGAGAGGCCCGGGCGGGTGGGCGGTGGGCGGGGGCCGCACGGAGCGCGCGGTGGGACGGCCCAGCTCCGGGCTGGGCGGGCGGGGGCGGGGCCCGGGGCGGGGCCTCCCGGCGGGCATTAGAGGCAGGTGACCCGGGCGGGGCGGGAGAGGGCCAGTTCAGCCTGCGGCCGTGACTCCGCCGCTGCCGTCGCGCACCGCCCGGAGCTCCCTGGAGGTGGGCGAAAAGAGTGCGAGAGCTCGGGGGAGGAGCCGAGCGGGGCGCGTCCCGAGAGCGCCGCCGCCGCCACCGCCCCCCGGAGTCGGCTGGAGCGCGGAGCCCCCTGCAGGGGAGGCGGCGAGCGGCTGGCGGGACGCGGCGGCGGCGGGCGCGGACCATGCAGTCCCGGCCCGGCCAGTGCCGGCTTCTCGCTGTGCTGTGAGGTGGCGGGGTCCACCTCCGGCCGCCGCACCCCTCCGCCTTCCAGCCCAAGTGCTGCCCGGCGCCCTTGTCCTTCGTCCGGACCCCGGGACACCGGTGGAAGGCACGGCCTGTCCCTGCCCTGCTCCGCCCGAATCATGCAGGGGGCCCCGAAGGAAGAGAAGGCTACTGACCGGCCCGCGCCGACCGTGCTCGAGGGGCACCCTGCGCTCTGAAACGCCCCCCCACCTGCTGCCATGTGTCGCCGCCGCCACAGGTACCTAGCTTGTCCTTAAAACTTTTCCAGCTCTGGCCGGATTCGGAGTCGCGGGACGGAGGAGCCCGGCTGGCTGCAGACATCTGCCGCCCAGCAGGATCCTCGGAGGTGAGAGCCCGCGTATTCCCCTCATCCCAGTTCTCCCGGTTCCTCTGCCCCTTTCTCGGCGACTGAGCTCTCTGGCCCCAGGCACAGCCTGCAGGGCCGGGCCAGGAAAGGGAGGCGGGCGCGGGGAGTGAGATGGGGGGGGGGGGGAGAGTCTGAAGTTTGGTTCCAGGAGGTGGGGGGCGAGGAAAGGAGTTAATCTGGAGATTGGTGACTGCGTACGGAGACCGAGTGGTTGACGCTGCTCTGAGAGGAGTGGTTGCGATTTTTCTTCTCCCCCTACCTTCTCTTTTAAGAGTTCTGTCCTTGGGATCTGAGCCCTAATCGTCTCTCCAGCCCTGTCTGGCGTGGAGCGCTGCCGGCGGAGGCAGCGCCTTCCCGAAGCAGTTTTATCTTTGGACGGATTTCTTTAAGAGAAAAAGAAACCAACAGGTTGCCAGCCCGGGCGTCACACTCAAGATTCCGGAGAGGGAAGCCCCGGCTGCGGATTCGTCGGTCAGCGCTGACCCTCGCGGGCAGCAAGAGGCCAGGGGGAGAAGGGGGCGATGGCTCGGCCCGACCCGTCCGCGCCGCCCTCGCTGCTGCTGCTGCTGCTGGCGCAGCTGGTGGGCCGGGCAGCGGCCGCCTCCAAGGCTCCGGTGTGCCAGGAAATCACGGTGCCCATGTGCCGAGGCATAGGCTACAACCTGACGCACATGCCCAACCAGTTCAACCACGACACGCAGGACGAGGCAGGCCTGGAGGTGCACCAATTCTGGCCGCTGGTGGAGATCCACTGCTCACCGGACCTGCGCTTCTTCCTGTGCTCCATGTACACACCCATCTGCTTGCCCGACTACCACAAGCCGCTGCCACCGTGCCGCTCCGTGTGCGAGCGCGCCAAGGCCGGCTGCTCGCCTCTCATGCGCCAGTACGGCTTCGCCTGGCCGGAGCGCATGAGCTGCGACCGTCTCCCTGTGCTGGGTGGCGACGCCGAGGTTCTGTGCATGGATTATAACCGAAGCGAAGCCACCACCTTGTCCCCCAAGTCCTTCCCGGCAAAGCCCACCCTCCCAGGCCCACCAGGGGCGCCATCTTCCGGGGGTGAGTGTCCCTCGGGAGGTCCATCTGTATGCACTTGCCGTGACCCCTTCGTGCCCATCCTGAAGGAGTCACACCCTCTCTACAACAAGGTGCGCACCGGCCAGGTGCCCAACTGTGCAGTGCCCTGCTACCAGCCGTCCTTCAGCCCCGATGAGCGCACGTTCGCCACCTTCTGGATTGGCCTGTGGTCTGTGCTGTGCTTTATCTCCACATCCACCACCGTCGCCACCTTCCTCATCGACATGGAACGATTCCGCTACCCTGAGCGCCCCATCATCTTCTTGTCTGCGTGCTACCTGTGTGTGTCTCTGGGATTCCTGGTGCGCCTGGTCGTGGGCCATGCCAGCGTCGCCTGCAGCCGCGAGCACAGCCACATCCACTATGAGACTACTGGCCCTGCGCTCTGCACGGTTGTCTTCCTCCTGGTCTACTTCTTTGGCATGGCCAGCTCCATCTGGTGGGTCATCCTGTCGCTCACCTGGTTCTTGGCGGCTGGCATGAAGTGGGGCAACGAAGCCATTGCGGGCTATGCCCAGTACTTCCATCTTGCTGCCTGGCTCATCCCCAGCGTCAAGTCCATTACAGCGTTGGCACTAAGCTCCGTGGACGGTGACCCGGTGGCCGGCATCTGCTATGTGGGCAACCAAAACCTGAACTCACTGCGTGGCTTCGTCTTGGGCCCACTGGTGCTGTACTTGCTGGTGGGCACGCTCTTCCTTCTGGCGGGCTTCGTGTCGCTCTTCCGCATACGGAGCGTCATCAAGCAGGGTGGCACTAAGACAGACAAGCTGGAGAAGCTCATGATCCGCATCGGCATCTTCACTCTGCTCTACACGGTGCCAGCCAGCATTGTGGTGGCCTGCTACCTGTATGAGCAGCACTACCGGGAGAGCTGGGAGGCGGCCCTCACCTGCTCGTGTCCAGGACCCGACGCTGGCCAGCCCCGCGCCAAACCTGAGTACTGGGTGCTCATGCTCAAGTACTTCATGTGCCTGGTGGTGGGCATCACGTCGGGAGTCTGGATCTGGTCCGGCAAGACCCTGGAGTCTTGGCGGCGCTTCACCAGCCGCTGCTGCTGCAGCTCAGGGCGGGGCCACAAGAGCGGTGGCGCTATGGCCGCAGGGGACTATGCGGAGGCCAGCGCCGCGCTCACCGGCAGGACCGGGCCGCCGGGCCCCGCCGCCGCCGCATACCACAAGCAAGTGTCCCTGTCGCATGTCTAGGAGGCCTGGAGGCCGAGGCCCCAGGGACAGTGCTGGAGTTGAAGGAGGGCGTTGTTTTGCTGGGTAGCTTTGTGAAGGTCACTTCCGTTTACCTTCTTGGTGCTGATGCCCCCTCCCTGAGCGGCTTGGAGAGGGAAAGGGGTCGGTTTCAAGAGAGTACCTGTCCCGCAGTCTTCTACCAGGGGGCTCGGCTCACGTGCAGTGTATTCTAGTTTGCATTTCTTACTGCCTTCTTTAGACGAACCCTGTTTTTAATTTATATGTATTTTAATTTTTTAACTTTGTTGCATTTTGGCAACAAAATTTACCTTTGCTTTGGGGACTTCACAATCCTCAAGCGGGCATTGTAATGAGGTTACCCTTGGTTCAGGTTTCTTTGGACTGTGTGGTCTAAATTAGGAAAATATATTTCCTATATGTGTGTCTTTTTCTTTCTTTTTTTAAATGTGAACAGTGATGGGCTGCTGTGACTGGGAAGGTGTGGACTGTCCTTTTTTTTTTTTTTCCAGTTAGTTTTTCCTTCCACTGCTTAAAATGTCCAGGACACTGAGAGGCCAGAGGCCATCTGCTAGTTCTGTGTATAGCCCCCTCAAGTCCTCCCCGGGGAATGGAGCATGATGGTTAGGACCATCCCCAAGTGACAAGGTTGGAGAAGATAAAGATTTTGTGAGCCTCCTTAACCTTGCTCAGCAAGCATTGGGTCATTTTCATTCATTCCTAATAGAGCCAGCATCATGCCTTGAATGGCAGAGGTGGCATCATAGAGCCAGACATACACGTTTGCCCTAGTGAGTGAGAGCCTGAGGGCTAGCGATGGATTGAATGTGAGTTCTGAACCGGTGAGGTGGTGAGCTTCGGGCCAGAGAGGGAGGAATGGGTGGTTCTTCATAAGCCCCAGTGATCCCTTATTACTATTTTTAAAGACAAGCAACTTGTGCTACAAATTTCAGTAAAAGTAAACCCATTCCTGACTTCTGAAAGTACTTAGGAATCCTTGCTGAAGGGGGCTCTCTTTTCGAGTAAAGGACAAAAAACGGATATGCTTCCAGTAATTAAAGTAAATTCCCATTGCTTCTTATCTGCTCCTCCCACCCCACCTCCTTTATCATGTTAAACAGTCTTTCTTGCTTTTCTGAGTCCTCCTGGGGAGCGGTGATTAGAAGCCACACCCACCCTCCAATGGAGCCCTGCAGCTGGGGAGGGAGGCTAGTTACCTGAGAACAAATATTGGCTCCAAGGAAGGAAAACAAGCGTCCCTGAACTCGGGGCTAGGTTAAAGCCAGCTAGTCCCAAAGCAGTCATGCTGTGCTCTGGTAGTCGCTGAAAAAAAAAAAAAAAAGACCCATACGGTAAGCTTTGTACTATGGGGGCAGTGTAATGCTACTGTGGGGGAGAGACCCCCCCCCCCCCCCCCCGTGCCTGCTCTCTTTTCCTGCTCTTCTGAGAAAGCCTGTACCGTGACCGACACCCCCCCTCACACACAGTTTCTCTGCTATTAGAAAAGTCTGTTTGCTTTCCTAATCTGTATTCATTCACTAAGAGTGTGAGGGCCATTACTGGGAAATGTGCATCAGCCAGCAAGTGCCCGTGAGTGACCAAGGCAGAGCGGGCACGAAACTTAGGGAGCTCAAATGGCCAGGCCATGAAAACTTCACCAAGCTTCCCTAGAAAAACAGCTGGAGTCTAGGCAGGGAGGAGAGAGACGGCAGAGACAGAGAGAAAAATGCTTAAGACTCAAGTCTTCAGGTTGCTCAGAAGCTGTTCACATGTGTAAAATGCGCTGCCTTTACTCACTGATGCTTGAATCAAAATGGAAACTTGAGTGGCTTCCACAAAACTCCCCGCACGCACACCTAGCTGTAGAACTCTGTCAGTGTCTTAGTCTCTATTCAGAAACCTCTTCCGGGAAGCTCAATAGACTCCCCGGCTCAGCACCACTTTTCCTGTTCTTTCAAATGAGGCCCTTTTCTTATCCCCTTGACCTCCTGGCTTGTTGAGCACATCTTCCCGGAATCTGCAGCCGGAGTGAGTTTGCGTTGTTCCTTCTTCACAAAGAAAACTGTGGAGGAATCTAGAAAAGATGTACAGTGTATCTAAACATTGTGGGATGAAGTGGAGGAAAGTGATTTAATTCATTCAAAAAAAAAATGATTTTTTTCCCCCGTCTTAGCAACATGCCAAGGTGGAAAAAGAGCAATTAATTCCCTTTGAAAAATAGGAAAGTTGAAACAGATGGATGCCAAGGCGGTGGACTACGTAGGTTTGGAAGAAGCCTCAGAAGTCTCTTTGTTTCTGTTCTCATCCTTGCCCTCCTCCTCCTTTCTTCTCTCCTTCCCTAAGGAGACAAAGAGGGAGCCCACCTGCCTCCCTGAAGCCTTACTCACATCTGTCTCTGGCCAGCCCTCGGGCGGGGAGCGGGAAGCTGCCTGTACCGATGGTCACCCCCTCTTCCCACCACACATTTTCCTCTGCTTTGCATTTCTGTTGTGATAACAATCAATGAAATGACATGAAAAGCTGTGGGGCAGTTCAGCAACTTCTGCCCTGCCAGCTTTGTGTCGCTGGGGAGGACTTGGCCGGGTGGCAGCTCCGGTGTGCATGTTCTGGCCACCTCCCTCACCTCTTGGAGCCTCGTGCTTCCCAGGTCAGAGGGTGAGGATTTAGGTAGTCTAAAGAAAGACATGGGACCTCGGTGACTCCAATGAAGAAAGACATGGGACCTCCAATGGCCAAATGTTAGGATGGTTTGTTTGATTAATTTTTTTATTATTTAAAAATATTATTTCCCTCACACTTTGAAGTTGTCTAAATTGGATGAGAATCATTTTTCTTGGTGCCTTATTGGTTTATTCTTGCAACCCTTTTGTCATATTTTCATGTGACCATTGCCAGTGACCAGGGCCTGGGTGTAATGCCTTGTGTGTAATTGTGCGCATGTCCAAGCTTAAATAACGTGCCGCCGATGGCACTTGTTCTAAGTTGGTATTCATTAGGCTGTTCCCTCCTGGGCCAGGGCAGCACTAATCTTGACACCGGCTGCCAAGAGAAAACGTCATGGATCATACAGCCAACCTTAATAACAGCATCCGTGACCTGCACCGGCGAGCGTAGAATGGGAACCCCAGAGCTAGGGAGCACAGTTGTATATTTTAATGAACTGCTAGGCCTGCTAAGGAAGCTCCTTTCACTTTTGTGATCCACAGAAAGACCAAGGGGGTGGGAGGGACAAAGCTTTGAATAAGTGCTTTCTAACACCCGAATGTGGCCAACAGGACTGAGCACATCACCAATCTAGGCAGGTGGGAGGTGCTGTGGCTAGGGATCGCCTCCCTGTGTCCTTTCTTGTCTCCGAAGTCCAATCAAGTGATCCTGGGAAAGAAACACGGCCTGGCTTGGGGAGACAGCTCAGAAAGAAAAATTATCAAGACATCAAAGACGGGTGAGGGGGAGGCAGGATGTAACCAACCCTGTTCAGACTCTCAGAAGCTTCTGGTAGCTCGATGACAGTTGCAGGGTGTTTTTTTTTTTTTTTTTTTTAATCCAGGATAATAATGTCTGTCTGTGGTACATCATTTGAAGCCAATATTAATTCATGTTGTTACAAACTATGTATAGTATGTATGTTTTGTGGGTATGTATATACGTAATATATATATTATATATATGTATATGTATATGAGAGAGAGATTTAGTGACTTTTGATACGGGTTGGTGCAGGTGAATTTATTACTGAGCCAGATGAGGCACATACCGAGTCAGTAGCTGGGGTCCAGGGCATTCAGTGCTGTGTATGATTTGCATACATGTATAGTGCCTATCCATCCCATGCAGTAAGAATCGTCACTGTCATGCCAAATCCAGCACTCACAAGTCAGAGCCAGCAATATTTTATTTGTAGACAATCAGCTTGACTGGCAATGATTAAAATTCTGAATCCGTAACACTAGCAAAAGGAAACCCAGAGTATTCTGAAGAGAGGTTTTGTTTTGTTTTGTTTTGTGCCTGGAAGTCAGTACAACAGCAATTGTATGTGGTTATGTTAGTCTCAAGATCCTTAACTTGTTGACCTTATTATTTTGGAATTTTTTTGTATTATATTTGTGGGAAAGTAAAATAATGGTTTAAGATTTTTATCAAATATGGAGATTAGTTATTTATGAAAAACAAAGAAATGTCTATTTTTGTTTCTTTGTTCCCAATTCATGTAGATAACTTTTTAAAATGCATTAAAGCAATGGTGAAGAAAATATAATAATGCTGTAGAGTCTTTTTCTCCTCTTTATGAAGAAATGCACTGGTTTCTGAGAGTATCTGAGATGCAGATCCTAACTTGATCGTCAGACGTCTCAGATATCCTTAGAGTATAAGCAACTGAATTTTCATCAGGATAATCGACCAAATTGCAACCACAAGAGGAACACGTTTTCCTCACCCGTGCTTCCTGGGTTTCTCACCTACACTGCTGTTTGCTTCACTATTCACTTGAAGGAACGAAGGGCGCTCCGTGAAGAACAGAGACATGGTCTGACTGTGTTCTGTTTGATCGCATGGGTGCATTGTGTCTATTCGATAAGCTGCATGCGCTGTGTGTCTGGTTGAGGGGCAGGTGTTGAGCTCAAATTACTTCAAGTCAGGAGCCAAGAGAGAGGAGCAAAATTTTTGAGAATGACACCCAGTTCCCTTCCCCATCCCCAGATAATTTGACTAGGTGTCAGAATGCTTATTGCCGGGTTCCTGCCTTGGCAAAATTCAAGTAAGTCTCTAAGGTAACATCTCATATTATGGTGTTCTCCAGAGACACTCTCAGGCGTTGTGGGAAAATGTGAGGAAAAGATAGGTACTTAAGACTTTAAATGCATAGGACAGAAATATAATAATGGCTATTTATTAATCCAGTGTCAGTATGATTACCATGGACTTCAGTATATGTCGGGGAGGGAGAGGCAGTCTGAGAAACATAGAGCAGCATCTGCTGAAGAATAACTACAATTCACATGCATGTACAAGACTCTAGTATGTCTCCACCTTGTTTTCTCTTGGCTCACTTTCGCCCAGTGGAGAAAGGGAGAAAGAGTAATCAGAAGTTGGAGCAGAGGTTCCTTAAAAGGTTGGAGGAAAGGTGCCCCCCACCCCAAAATCACTGGCAATAACACCATTTCTTTTTAATGACTCAGTTTGCAGAGTTCTTTAGTTTGTCAAGATGGAAGCCATGCTTAGAGGGAGAGTGGTTGTGTGTGTGTGGATTGAGGATACAGGTTGATTGTTGGTTCAAATCCCAGCCCCACTACTACTTATAGGCCCAGATCCAGGACACTTAACCTGTATTTCACATTTCTCATTTGTGAAGAGAGAAGATAGTACTTAGGTTTAGGGGTTCAGAAGATTTCAAAGGTGAAATCAGGTAAAGGTAAGTAAAGCTAGGAGTCTGCCACTGTTCCTGGTGCAGAATGGAGAGGGCAGCTCCCACTGGGTGTTTGCTAAGAATCAACTGGGGCTCTTCCAGGAAATGCATTACAGTCTCAGCCCCGGGACTGGAGATTAAGTTAGCCCTAGGACCTTCAGTGGGTTTTGTTTTTTTATAAAGATATTTAAACTTGGGAGTAATTTTATGTAAATCTAAAATTACTCATTTAAAAAAATTGCATGAATAATTGAGTTCTTGTTTGCTCCCTACCCATTTCCCCTAATGCTAATCATCTTTTGTTTTTGTTTTGTTTTGTTTTGAGACAAGGTCTCTATGTAGAGATAGCTGTCCTGGAACTATGGTAGTCCACAGACTGGCCTCACACTCACAGAGATCCACCTGCCTCTGCTTCAATTGCTGGGATCAAATTGTGTTAATGTCTTAACCATGGTACATGTTACAACTACACAGTCAATGCTGGCCCTTTACTATGAGCTCCAGACGTCATCAGACTTCACACTAGTGCTCTGGGATCCAGAGCTCATGATAACCATATTGCTTTTAGAGAAGGCTCATTGTTCGCGGACTTTCAGCTGATGAGAAGTAGCTGGTTTGGTAACCCTATCAAGAAACAGTGTGATATTTCAATGACTGCACTGTTGGTCACGGAATTGCTAAGCACTGCAGAGTTGGAAGCAGCTGCTCTGGGGAAGGTGGGTGGGCTGGCACAGGCGAGCTAAGGAGGCAGTTCGCCTGTGAGCCATTGAAAGCCTGCATTTCCTTGGACCTGGCGCCAGTGGAGGGCTTTTATGGTAACCAGCATGAAGCGTGCCAAGTTGGACATTAGCCAGAAAGATTACAGGTGACAAAGTTGGGATGGTCCTACTGCAACAGGCCCTCAGGGGCTTGAGCCGGGTAGGGAGTGTGGGGGGTGGGGTGGGGGAGGGGGCGGAGCACAAAGAATCTCAGCCTTTGGGGGAATTAGTTGTACTAGAGAATAACCATGGGCACTTCAGGTGGTCTGCAGACTTGAAGGTTAAGGAAATGGAGCAGCAGGGTGCTTAAGCCTTCATACTCACGTGGCTTACATACTCAAGTAGGTTCTGGGATTACCAATGAATTTCCTTAGTCACACCGCAACTGCCCAATTTTTACTGCAGTTATACGGCTAGGTGTTTTAAAACCTTTAAAGACTGTCTGAACATCTCCCTTTTAAAAGAATGTTAACTTTACACTGGAGTCAGGGTTCCTCTTCGATACAACTTCACATCCCTTCCTGCACCCTGAAGATCGCCAGCCACAAGGTGAGATTGCTGAAGTTTATTTCACAGTAAGTACACCCACCTAAAGTGAAGAGCCCAAGAAACCAAGGCTAATCTTAGGTACCAGGGGAAACAGCCCTGTTCTATCCTTTGTGGCATTTGTGGGCACGGTGCCGGGCCTCCAGCTAGGTTAAAGTGGCTGGCAGTTAGACTGGAGGTAATCTTATGCTGGACTTGTTGACCCACACTAGGTACACAGTTTACATAGAAACTAGCACTTTACCTTGGGATAGTTCTCTGCTGAGTGCTTTCTTTCCAAATAGTGCTATCTTAAGAATGCAGCTTCTGGGTGAAGGACCAGGCAGGCAAACCAGTTGTTTTAAACATGGCTGGAGGATAGACTGGGTTATGAAAGGTTTTAGCTAGCCTGCATAGCATAGCTTATGAAAAGTCTAACCTGACACCTGTGTTGTAATACTGGTGTCTTTGAACCAGGGGATACTGTGTTTAGGGATGTAAGAAACTAAACCAAGCTGAGCTGTCATAAAACCAAAGTTCTGTATTGTTGAATAAAAAACAAAAAACCAAACAAAACAAAACAAAAAAAACAACAACCAGGAAATGTGAAAGGGTGGGCTGGGTTGGAATCTGATACAAAGAAATCTAACGATAAACACAGGGAATTACTAAGCAGCAGCCACTTTTCAGCTTGCAAGAATGGTAGTTTACTGGGATCAAACCTGCATTCAGACCTATCTTTTTTGTATAATGCAATCATCATACACCAGTTAAAACTCTGAAGTCATTGTGGCACAGACCTTTAATCTCAGCCCTCTGATGGCAGAGGCAGGAGGATCTCAAGTTCAAGGCCAGCCTGGTCTATAGAGCAAGTGCCAGGCCAGTGAGGCCTCCTGCATAGTGAGACCCTGTCTCAAAAAATACACATTTTAAATAGTTGAAGTCTATTATTAGAGGTTAAAACTAAAAAACCAAACAGACCACTATCAACCCCATCTTTTAAAACACAAAAGCAGAATGCGTGAGTCCGGGTAGATGTTCCTTTTTATTATCTTTTCAGAGTACAGAACCCTGAGAAGATGCTAGTTAGCACCCTTCTGGTGATTTGGTTTTCATGCCTCATTTGTCAAGGGACCCTACCCACCTTCAGTGACATTTATATTCTCAGTTGATCCAATTTCCCACTATCAAAATGACTCTCCTATTCTAGTGTCAAGGTCAAAGAGGGAAAAGCCAATTCTCAGTGTACTCATGGTGCCAACTTATTAAAAGCATCAGATTCATGTCAACAGTCCCTTCCCCAAATCATTGTCTTAACATCTGTCCACTCATGCAGTCAGCATTTCTACATAGAAGATGCAAAAAAATATTAACTTGCGAACATGCGCTTGTGCCTGAGGTCAGGAGCATGTCAGATCTCCTGGAGTTACAGAGAGCCAATAGGTACTTGATACAGGCGTTGGGAATCGAACTCCGGTCCTTAACAAGAGCAATACAGGCTCTTAACCACTGAGCCATCTCTCTAGCTGCAAGATACAAATTCTGATGTGTTTTTTTTTCAAGACAGGGTTTCTCTCTGTAACCAAGCTGGCTGTCCTGGAACTAGCTAGCTCTGTAGACCAGACTGACCTCGAACTCAGAGATCCACTGCCTGCCTCTGCCTCCTGAGTGCTGGGATTAAAGGCCTGCACCACCACTGACTGGTTCATGTGATTTATGATAGGTTTCCCCTTCCTAAAGTGTCAGTTATCCTATGTCAAGAACAAAGGGATTCATCGTTGAACGATCTGACTTCAAAAACTGAAAAAGTAAAAGTAAATAAATGTGCAGCATGAGCAGGATTTAATAACCATTGCTTACATCAGGGAACGCACTAAGGAGCAGAGGAGGGGGGATGTTCAGTATTTCCAGATCTGCCAAGGAGACATAGTTAAGAGTCCCTGGCTCAAAACAAAAGCAAAGCCCTTAGGCTGACTGGGTTTACACATGAAATGCGAACTTGAAACATCATGCAGTGTGTTTGAAGCAACCCCAGTTCAAATTCCCATCCTTCTGTTTTATTACCTGAGGAACGCGTTCTAATCTGATACTATTCGGGCGACTGCTTTCTCTTTGGTGTGTACCTATAATCTCATCTACTGTGACCCTTCCTGATTCACCCTGATGAACTATTCAAGTGTGCCATCTACTGCACTAAGTACAAAGTGGCTAGACAGACTCCTGCTGTAATACATTATCTTCAGACAGAACACAGTCTAAGCAAAGACAATCACTACTGAACTAGACCATGAATCAAAGCAGCCTGGTCAGTTGGAAACTATGCAAAAGTTTTCAGGACCAAGGTAAACACAAGTTCTAGAGAGATACAATGCCCTGTGGACAGAGAAGCAGTACAAACACACTAGCCATATTTTAATTAAAATAGAATTTATTAGCCTTTCTTTTAATATAAACATGAGAAAGAAAAACCACGTTAAGTTGTAGCATTCTTTTCAAAATAAAACTGCAATCAATACTTGAATCTCTAAGCTCTGAACTCCATAAACAATGTTTTTTT